ATCCTCCACACTTGGCTTCCTAAAAGCACTAGGTTGAACAACTTGAGGTCTTTGAAGCCCATACCACCTGCTCTTTTTGCTCTACAGATCTTATCTCATGAGACCATAGCCCATCTCCTTGTGTCCTCTTTCCCTGACCACCAAAATGATCTCACTTGAGAAGTGATATGATCAATGATTCCATCCGGAAGAAGATAGCACAACATCACATATGTAGGGAGAGCTTGGGCCACCGACTTTAGAAAAACCTCATTGTCTCCAAAAGAGGGGAGGTTCTTGGTCCAGCCATGCATTCTTTTGGCGGTATTATTTCAGACAAAGCTAAATGTGCTAATCTTTCCTTTGCCCACCACCAGAGGTAGCCCAAGGTAGGCTCCTGGGTCTTCCTTTTCAGCCACTTCAAGAACCCAGAGTATATTGTCCTTATGTGCTCTAGATGTGTTCGTGCCGAAGTAAATACTTGATTTATCGATGTTAATCTTTTGACCCGAGGCTTCTTCATACGTGCAAAGGATGTCCTTGATCTTCCTGGCTTCATTCATAGAGTTCTTTATGAAAAGAATACTATCGTCAGCATAGAACATATGGGTAATCCTTAGGCCTCTGATATTGTCTCTGACTCTTTTGATCAATCCATTTCTTTGTGCTCTGTTAAGAAGAGCTGACAATCCCTACGCACAGAAAAGGAATAGATACGGGGAAACAGGGTCTCCTTGCCTAAGTCCTCTTTCCGGAGTGAAAGTATTTGATAACTGGCCATTAATCCTGATTTGGAAAGATACAATGCAAACACATTTCCTAATGATATCAATGAAGGACTCCCCAAATCCCAATCGGTCCATTATAGCAAACACAAAATTTCATTCGAGCCTATCATAAGCTTTTTCCATGTCAAGCTTAATGGATGCTTCTTTGGTTAGACCATTTTTTGAAGAGTCGATTGTTGATGAACTGAAATGCGTTACAATTTAAGGGGTGAATTTGAGGTTGTTTTGGTTAATTTTAATACCTAAATTATTAATTTTGGTCTATTTTAATATTTAAACTTTTAATCTTTTTAAAATCATTTTTAATATTTAAACTTAAGATTAAATTTTGAACATGAGTATTGAAATGAAACAAAAACTAAATTTTAAGTATAATTATAAAAAATTAAAATTTTAATTGCTAAAATATACCAAAACCGATATTTTAGATACTGTAAATATAATTTAACCTAAAAGATAAATAGTTTTAATGTACTTTCATCATTTTTCTTTTTTCCTTTTCCTTTTCTACTCATCGGGAAAAAGTTATTTTCACTATATTTTCACTGGGCAAATTATTCCATTAAATCATTAAACTTGAACTTATATATTAATTTAATCATTAAATTTTAATTTATATACGATTTTATTATTAAATTTTAAAACACTTCAGTTTTAACAATAAATTTTAATATTGTTTTTTGTTACTAAATCCCTAAATCACTAACAATATAATGATGTGATTTTTTATTTTTTTTAAAATTATTTACTCCATTGATCGTCATCATTAATCATCATTTATCGTCAATAATGATCAATTATAAAATGTTCACATTTCATATTATTTGTTTCTTTTCAGATTAATTTTTCATAAAATTTACTAGAACCAATAAAATTCCATTTAAAGATTCGACGTTCTAAAGCTACAAATTTCATTTCATTATTAGGTGATTATTTATCTGTCTTTTAATCGTATAATAGTAAACCATATCCTTATGAAAGCTACAAATAGAACAAGGATGGCATAAAACACTTTAAAGTAAAAACCCAACTTCAGAACACAAACATCCCTTGAACAAACTCAAAACAGTAGCATTATCTGAAAATTCAAGAGCGTTAATAGTCCTTAACATAAAATAAATATGAAGGGCAAAAGAACTAAAACAACTAGTAGTATCCTACTTCACCTATGCCTTATCGGCTTTGGCAGCAGTGGCGGCGGCTTGTCCTCTGAGTCTACCAGTCCTCCTTGCAGCAATAAGACCAACCTTTTGACCAGGTGGAGCATCGCGTCTAACGGTACTAGCATGACCGATATGTTGATGGTTACCACCTCCGTGGGGATGCTCGACTGGATTCATAGCCACACCTCGGACCTTAGGCCAGCAGTTCCTCTTCACTCTGTACTTGTGGAAAGCATTACCAGCTTTAAGAAGGGGTTTCTCAGTCCTACCACCTCCTGCAACTTGGCCGATCATGGCTCGGCAACCACTTGGAACAATCTTCTTCGCACCAGATGGAAGTTTGATCCTGTAAAATTACAATCCAAGAATCTAAATACCAAGTTCATCTATAACTAATCACCACACTTAAAAGGATTAAGACAAAATCATCTTTGAAACACAACCACCTTAAGATAAAATGAAATTCCATATGTAAGCACGAGAATTTCGAAACCTATAAAACTAAAGAACCTAAGAGATGCCATTTCATTTTACATCCCATCAATTCATAATCCAATCAGGCTCAATCTCAGTTCTTTCTCATATTCATAGTTGAATGAATAAGAAATAATCAAAACATAAGATAATATAGGTACAGTTTCAGATCAAAATCAAACATAAACGATCCAAATCAAAATCAAAACATAGTAAGACTCAAACACCTGGTGGTGTCGTTATCAGGATTGTGACTAATAACGATAGCGTAATCACCAGAAGCCCTAGCGAAAACCCCACGGTCGCCGACATGATGCTCGACATTGCAAACGACAGCTCCTTCAGGGATAGATCTAAGAGGCAAAACATTTCCCACCACAAGGGTAGCCTTCTTACCACAATACACGAACTGTCCTGTGTACATACCCTCGGCAGCAACGAAGAGTTCCTTCTGCTTCTTGTAACGGAACGGGTGGCGAAAGACGACGCGGGCTAAGGGGGCGCCACGGCCGGGGTCGTGAATGACCTCGGTGACGACACCCTTGAGGTAGCCATTTCGTTCGCCGAAGTCGAGACTGCGGAAACGGGCGGGACCCTTGCGGTGGTGGGTGTGGGCCTTGAAGACGGAACCTGGACCCTTACGCTGAGCTCTGATGACTCGTCCCATTTAGTGAATTCTGTGAGGAGATCTGTCTCTAGGAGACGACCTATGGGAGGGTATTTGAATGGGGGGTTAGGGTTTTCGTGAACATATCATATATATATATGGTGATTTCCCCCCTGAATCTAGGGTTTTGAATTTTGGGCTTTTGGTATTCTCAGTGTTGAGCCTAATAGCGAATTGGAGTTTTGGGCTTATTCATTTGTATTATAAGGAAATATGATATTTTTTTTTATATTTTTAGTTTATTTATTAAAACATTTTTAGAATCATATAAATATATAATTAATTTGAATCATAGTTTAATTTAAATAATATTTTTATTAATTATATAATAATTATTTAATTTGAGATAGGGTTAAATGTTGACTTATCCTAGATCTTAACCAAAATGATGAAATTGTTACGCGCATGTTAATAGGCCAGACCTTTGAGCCGGTGAAACTTCGGGCTCTGCCAACCTTACCCCAAGTCAAAACATCACATTAGACATGACAATTTCTTAATCATCTGTCTGGCTTGGAAGGAATTAGGGTAGAATCTGGGGTGTGGGTGCGTTAAATCTTGGGTAAACTACACATTTAATACATAATCTATTAATTTTGGTCTATTTTAGTACTTAAACTTTTAATTTTTTCAAAACCATAACTATCGTTTAGTTTTTGTTTCATTTTAATATCACACCGTTAAAAATTAGCACCAAAAGTATCAATTTTGGTCAATTTTACTACCTAAACTTTCACAAAAAAAAATCAAAACTTAATGTTAAATTTTGAATAGGGGTATTAAAATGAAACAAAAACTAAACTTTATATATGATTTTGAAAAAAATAAAAATTAAGTACTAAAACTGATAATTTAAATACTAAACGCATAATTTACCCTTAAATCTTTTACTTTTGTTCCAGAACAATTATTGAGTGTGGGATTGTAAATGATTCGAGTTAAATTTGAGTATTGTTGAGTTTGATTTTACCCTTAAAAACTTATAAGTTGAGTTTCATTCCATTTCATAGTTTGAGAATTTAAAATTATTAAGTCCAGTTCGAATTTAAAATAAAAAAATTAAAGTTCGACTTTGAAAAAATATAATATCAAAACATTCTCATAATTAGTTTGCTTGAATATGAATCTTAAGTATATAAAAAACATTATATTGCAGTTTTAGGCTTAATGTTAAATTTAGAGTCCAACTATATCCTTTATTAACTTAGGTGCCTACATAATTTTTCGCTCAAATTAGGTGTCTAACGTTTCCGAATTTACCTTTTTATATGTCCGATCATTCATGTTCGTTAAAAAATCTGTTATCTAACACGTATCATGTATTTTAATTTTAAAATAAATAAAAAAAACTTAAAATTATAATTTATTTAAAAAAAATTCCAACTTTTTTAAAATAAAAAAAAATAATCTTAAAGTGTAAAAAGTCTACCCCAAATCTGTTCACTCACGTCTACCCCACCAATGTTCTCTTAATGGTTGCCTTTATCGTTAATCATTTCATCTACTCGAATTCAAACGTATGAGGAGAGAAATTGTTGCTTGAATTGCTACAATGGAACCCACTCATTAAGCAGTATCAATCAATTAATTTCGATGATTAAAGAATTATTATTATTTTTTAAGTTTTGCATTTAATTATTATACATGTAAAAATATAAATATTTAAATAAAATATAATAAAAAATTTAAACAAATATTATTTTATATTTATTACAATTTTATTTAAAATAAAAACAAAACAGTCAGAAAGCTCTGATTGCATAGGATTATCATTTACCAATATTGAGCTGAAAATATGTGGGCTTGTGTCCTGAAAACCGAAGAAAGCTTACATAAAAACAATAATCACCTTAAAGGCCTGATCTTTGTCATGGTTTAGGCCCTGTCCGGGGAAGATTTTTTTCTTTCAACCCCGTATTGATCGATATTCGATAGGCTTCGCCCGAAGAAGACTTCCATAATTTGCCGCAGTATCCAGTTTTCGACAGGGTGCCCCCCCACCTCCTCCTTCACTTCTCTTCAGCTTCACCAAGCAACAACAAGCTCGTATTATTCGTTTCGAATTGTATATATAAACAAACGATTAATAGCGTGAGTGGAACGAATGGGAGAAGGGAGAGAAGGAGACTGGGAGTGCAGCGGATGCAAGAACAGGAACTACGCCTTTAGATCTTTCTGCAACAGATGCAAGCAGCCTCGTCTTCTTGTTGACACCAAAACCCCTGCTGATTCCAAATGGCTTCCTCGTATTGGTGATTGGATCTGCACTGGTCTGTCCATACTCCTTTCTCTTTACATCATTTCTTCTAATCATGTTGATATGTTTTAATTCAATTATAAAATTTAAGATTAGATATCAAAGTTGGGTTCTGTAGCTTATATGTGTTTTTGAGCTGTGATGGAACAAAGGGCATGTAAAGATTTGATATTGCTTTCCCTAATTACTGATTTGAAAATGGGTTATCTTTAAAAAATTACTCTGGAGAAGTAATTGTTGATAAACTTGCCATTTTTATACATGGTGATACTCGTTTTGCGAAGTTGAGGTTAGGTAATCAGTATCAATTAGGTTGAGTGGTTTGTGTTTTTTGTATGTGTACTTTGGTACTATGGGATGAACTTGGTGGTGTGCGTATGTGCTTGGCTTCCTTGTCCTCTTGGTCGTTGCATTCTGGGTGGGGGTGTGTGTGGCAAATGGATCAATAGCTTGCACTAACAACAATTATGCATCAAGAGAGAAATGCAAAAAGTGCGGGCAACTGAAGGAGATAGCGGCGATGCCGGCAATTGCGATGCCCGGAGCTTCTCTCCCGACTTATTCGCAATATTTTGCCAGGGCCCAAGGAACACTGGAACAGAAGATGAACGTCGGATTTTTAGGCAGTGGTTCTCCCCAGCAGTTGCTTCCTTTGAGTTTCAACTGGCATGTAGGCGGTGCTGATAATTACGGACTTCAGTCAGCATCCACGTGGCCTTTAGCTGGAAACCAAACTCCTAGGGTTCCTTATGCCAGTCCTGGTACTCAGCCGCTTTCTGTTCCAAAGGGATGGAGAAATGGTGACTGGATTTGCAACTGTGGCTTCCATAATTACTCTTCACGTTCCCAGGTTGTATCTTACTGCCTAAACTGGAGTATGCATTATTCTTTGTGCTTTTTACAAATTCTACAAAATATTCCATGTCATTACTTTTCTGATCAATCTGGTTTTATTGCAGTGCAAAAATTGCAATGCATCCATACTGCCGGGTACATTAATTTGCTTTGTTTTGGTTTTAATGCTTATATTCTGATTTGCTGATTGGTTCTACTACTAGTGATCGAATCTTTACCTCTTCTTTGTTTTCTTTTTTGGGTAATATAGCACTAGGAACTAAGCGATTAGCATCTGAGGAATTTATACACGATTGGGATCATAAAAGATTGAATTCAGGACATGTAAGTAATCAGTTTCTGTAGTGACATGTATAATTAATGTTATTTTCCAGCAGGCTTTGACATTTTTATGTACTGAACTACTGTTGCTCTTTTCTGGGTTTGCAGGGTTCTGGATTTGATCAAATAGTAGGAGCCACTAGTGACCCAAAACCTGGAGCATATCCTTCCTATCCCAGTCTAAACCCTGTTGTCGCTTCAAATTGGTCAGGGCCCGTTCCATTCCCTATTCAAGCGGCAACAACAACCCTTCTAGGAAAAGGGTAAATTTCAATTAAGTTGATCCCTTGTATGCAACGCTTTTCATATATCTTTGACAAATTCATTATTCATTTCATGTGGTGGATGATTTACCCTTTTGTCAACTTATGGCAATAATATCCTTCCGATTCGTGATTTTGTTTGCTTCTAGAGTGCACTTTTCAGTTCTCTTGTTTCTTACTGATTGTAGGCTTGAATGTAGTGTGCTAAAGAAATGGTCACGAAATCTGTAACGAATTATGAACTTCTGTGTTTAGAATCCAATCAGGTTTATGTTCAGTGTTTTTGCATTAAGATGCCGAGTAACATGTCTAGCAAATATGATATTTTTCATGAGATTCAGAGGATTGGTTTTTAAATCTACAAATTTTAACATCCTCCATTTTTCAGAGCAAAACAATGGCGTAGCGGAGATTGGATGTGTGCAAAATGCAACAATCACAATTATGCATCTCGAGCTCAATGCAATAGGTCAGTAGATAAATTAATGGCTTTTACATGCTGATTTATGCTAGCATTGTGATCTGTCGAAACACAATGTTATTGATGCGCATTATACCCATCAATAATTTGATAATTTGGTGTCTGAAGTGATTTACTATTAGAAAAGGAAAATGCTTTATATATATATGATTGCCTGCCCAAGATTAATGGCAATTTTCTTCGTTCTGTTGGTGGTTTTCCGTACAATAATCTCTTAAGTCATTGCATCAAATGTGTACGATAATTGTGGAAACTTTTATTCTTAAGACATCCACTTCATAGCATCTTTTCAGAGCTAGGAGTGGGTCTCTAACGCCCTGATCCTTGACCCTCCTTGGGAGGGTAACACCAATAGGTTGACAGTTTGACACTGCAAACTTCAGATAAATGCACTTTATTTTGGAGAAAACTCACATTTTGGTGGTTGATTTTCATCATACAGGTGTAAGACTCAGAGAGAGACTGTGACTCAGCCGGTAAAGCCGGCATTGTCGCCATTTAATGCTGGTTTTGATTCATGAAGATTTCTCTAGTACATTGCTCGGGTTATTTTGTTTCTCTCTCCTTACTTTCATGTACAACAGAAAAACAGAAGCTATAGGTTTGGTATTCATTAGTTATGATAGCAATTCTGAGTTTTGAATTGAGAATGGTGCAGAGCTTTGTTTAACTTTTTGTATAATACTATATTGTATAATTTGAATGGTATTTCTTGTGTAAATGGTTTAAAACCTTGTGATGCATATGGCCCGATTCAGATTGATTGGTATTTGGCATACACCGTGCAAGTTGCCCATAATGCCTGCCTGGTTCCATGAACCTAAAGTAGTTGAAACGTGCAGCCCCAAACTTTTTTTTTAATCCCCATTGGTTTAAAATGTCATTCAATTTAAGCCTTGTCTCCCAATTTTTATGTTTAATAAGCCTCTGAATTTTTAAAGTTAAATAATCTGGTCATCTTAATATTTGATCCTGATTTATCCCTGAAAACGTGCAACATGCTGATCTAGCAACTGAGATGGTCTCGGGTAATCATCCCTTCTGCTGTTATTTTGGACAAATGCTCAGTGTCCGTTGTTTGGCCATTAATTGGAATCATCCCTATGGTCTTAAGGTAGCGTGGCAAGAAGGTTATAGGAAGTTTACCCTGGAGTCGCATAACAATGCTGCAGTATGTTGAAATATTCACTGTTTCTATTCATAAAACTCTTGCTCTCCTTAGGGTTATAACATCATCATATATGGTGCGCATATTACCTCACTAGACTCCACTAACCAACTATGACTCAGCATAACAACTTTAATATTCCTTTAACAGACTAACAAACCAATGACAGCGCATGCATTTCACCATTCATGCATGCATGCATTCCATACTTCAACACAGTATTTCGAACATCAAGGCTTTACTTGACACAACACGGGAAGTTACGAGTGCTCGAGTTAAGAGGGAAGCGAACTTGGCTGCAGAATACATTGCGAGGACCAGTACTAGTTCGAATAATCAATTGCGAGTTCATAAACAGCTTGTTTCTGTCAACAGATGTTCTTAAAGATTGAGCTAATGCTATTTTCTCTGTATCTTAGGCTGGTTCAGTAAACTACTTATTAGCCAACAGTTAATTCCATGAACATAACGATATAGGGAAGGCAAAATCCTTTTCTGATCTTCAATTTCTTGCTCTCATGGAAAAATGCCCGTAGCATTCTTGATTAGCTGTAATCACATTGATCTGATATGCCATTTAAAGGGCAAATCTTCAACATTCTCTTTTTCCCAAGTCTTTTTATATCATACCAGAAATGAAGGCAGCTTTTTCCCTTTGGAGAGGCAAAGTTGCACTTACCACTGCATCTGTTTCCTCTTCACTTCCACCAAGTCCTATTGGTTAGAACTTGCAACTAAGATTTTATCCATGGAAGTATATGAAGAATCCAATAATTCAGCATAAATTGCAAGGGTTGGAGAGATTAATAGTTTGGTTTCGAAAATGAAAAGAACATTGCATACAGCTCAAGCTAACATTGAGCGACCTTATCGGATTCGAAGCCAAGTTTCGGCTGCGATCAAGAAAGAAAACTGACAATGTTTCATGATCATTCAGGTTTCACAGCAGAAGCTATACAGTGTAAGAGACCTTCGATTTCACAACTGCAAAAATGTGGGAACATAGGGGACAACCGGACAAGCACTCGAAATTTGAAGACAGAAAATAGATGGGAAACTGTGCTGGTCCAAGAAGAAGACTGGCCGAAATGAAGATATATTCCATAGCTGGGAATTGAAACCAGATCTCCTGGGTAAAAGCCAGATATCCAAACCACTGGACGACAATGGATTGATCGACATCTGCTTTTGTTTTAAACTTTTGGTTAATTTTTAAACTAAAACTCAAATGGAAAGACAAGCTTTTGAATTTCACTTTAGGGTGTGTTTTTTTCCACAATTATAGTGGAGACCATTAGCACATGCCTTTATAATACTATTATCTTATTAAGATTAAATTTATAATTATTATCAAATAATTAATCAAAATAAACAACTTCCATTTTACTAAACGTTTGGACATTATTGATAAAACCATCATGTACCAATGGTTATCGTCACCATATATAAAGCGATAGAAAATTTCATTCACCTTCAGCATTTTCAAACTATACAATTGCCTCATTTTTTTTTTTTTTTGCTTATGAGCAGAAGGAAGTTTAAGAGTTTTGCGCGTGCGCGCGCCCATATATATATATATTACGAACTGAAACAAAGCCAAATATATACAGGTCTACATCTCATAAAACTATGGACTACTCAATTCTTCATTCTAAAACCAGAACTTTAATGTAAAAAAAAAATACTCACATTTATATATGAAAATGTGTGTGTGTATATATATATATATATATATATCAAACAACTGGAACTGGCATGACCACTTCACCGGTGGAACTGCTAGCACTCGAAACTCGATTCTCCTCCCTGTACGCCTTTTTCTTGATGAACTCAATGCAATCCGCCACGGCTTCTCTTTGGTGAGCGTCAGCCGGCCGATAATACTTCCACGGTGTAGCAGTACCGGCGGATGAGGCACCATGCGGATGCGTGGACACCTTCGTGAGAGCCGATAACATTATGAGGCGAAAAACCGCTTCTTGGAAACGTTCGAGCAGACTCGTCGCCGATAACCGTTTGTTCTTGTTGCTCCCTTTTGTCCTCGGCATGCATAGATTACTGCTCCAGATTTTCTTGAGACTGCCTCTGGTTTTTCTCTCCATATTCTTTGCTTGTTTTGCCTTTGATAATAGAGTGCTTGTCTACATATAGGAGAGGCTGATGCATGTTCATGATTTTTGTTGTTTAGCTTTAGCTTACCAAAGTAAACACACATGTAATTATTGTTGAAAAGACAAGCATCATTTGAGTCTCTCCTGTGGGACCTGGAAACCTTAGCCCTTAACCAAAGTGTCAGAAATTTTGCTGGAAAATGGTACGAACCAGTTGGTTAAGAGTCTAATTACAATAGACCAGTAGGCAAAACCAGGTTTTATATTTGTAGTTTGTCTTCTAATGTCTCGTGACAACTCAACCATGCATGTTAGACTTAAAACACACCGTATCTCAAGTCGGTCTTAAATATTATGCTGTGGTGAATCACTTGACTTAAGAAGTAAATTCGTTTCGATAGGTGTAATTGCTGCGCTGAATGAACCTAAAGATTCAGGTTCCATAAATCGAACACCCGAAGATTGAGCGGATGATGATGATATTGCTCTTCTCTAAAATTAGAACCGGAAAAGAAACAAAAAAAACTTTGAAAAATAAAAGAAAACATGGAGAAAAATAAGTTTATGGGATGATTTAAAAACACAAACTGAGCCAAGCTAACTAGATTGCAGCAATTAAACTCACTTGAAAGAGCCTTGTTATTCTACCGTGCGTTCGACAAGAAAGTAAAAGAAAGACAAAATATAAACCTAACTAAAAGCACTTCTCTTTCAACAAGTCAAAGTTCATGAATAGGAATTCCATTATCACCACAACTACATTAATCAGGGTGACCTTCAACTTGGGGTTAAAACCAGTTGATTCATACCGACGCTCTTAAAAAAACAACTTGACCTAGAGTTCAAGTTGACAAAGTTGTCTTTGTCTTGACTGGTACTGTGCTAACGCACATGGTTACATGTGCATACGTTCATGGCTCGCACAAGCACATTAAATTTAAATCAGCCCACTTACCAACCATCGAAGAACCCCCCCCCCCCTTTGTATTTTACCCTCTTCGAATAAGACACGAAGAAGTACAGTTTTTTTGGGGACAATTATCTGTTCTAAAATCAATGCAAACAGCTACTGAAATCAAGGTTGTGTGATGAAAACATTAAACATGCAGACATGAAAGAAGCGTGAATTTGGTGTCCCATGTGTGTCTGGTTTTTGTTTGCAAGATATTTAACCTTTGAAGGGACTTGTTGTTTTGAATCGAGTTTTGTCTGCTATTACATGAATGCATGCATCGCCATTTCTGATATCAATCACATCATCTTTTTCCATCTGTTTTTCAATTTATAACACCACCGGTAATTTCCTAAAGTAATTTGCAGTTTTGGTCCATAATCATATATGTCAGCTGAAACTAACTTGCATAATTATTGAATTCAAAACCGGCCCAATACATGTGCCAGATGGACCTTCAGAGAAGCATGTTTGAGGGGGCATCAGAGTTGGTGGAGATATCACGATTTCACCGAATTTAGAAGAAGGGTCGGCAAGAAATGTACTGTTACCGATTCCAGAGCCTTTTATGAGTTCCAAGAGAGGAGAGGCCGGGTAATTTTCTTCACCTTTTGAACTCTTTTGCACTAATATTATGTTAATAACGTTGTGTTTTGGGTATTTTCTGGTGGATGTAAGTGATGGAATCATGCTCTGTTTTGTGTTATTTTGATATTGTTGTAACTTGGTATTGGAGTTTCTTATGTTCTACCATGAAATTAATGAAGATTTTCGGATGGGGTTTTGTGTTTTTTTTTGGACAGGCAGGGGATCCTTTGTATGTTCTGCTGTGTTGTTGGCTAGCAGCTGTCGATGCCGGTCTTCTTAAATCCGAGGAGATATTGGAGGGGGTGGCAAGGCTTCGGATATCGAATGATATTGAATTTGAAGAGCAGACTTTTATTGCAATGATGAATGAAGCAAGAGAGGTCAGATCATCTTGTTCTTGTGTTTCCAATTTTATGTTGTTCATTTCAGATTCTTTCGAATGTATGTATGTACTGTTACTGATATACTTGTTATGTTACAGAGACGAGCAAAGTTGAGTGCGGGTTCCCCAAATCTTCCCATGGAGATTCGAGCTGAAAAAGGCCCTGGATGCGATTTTCGTCTGTTGCTTTGGGAGAGATCCGATCGAAGAGGAAGACAAGAGCTTGCTTAATATCATGCTAAGAACAGTTTTCCCAACTGTTGAGCAATCCATGATTCAAAAACTCATCAAGGACAAGGCAATCAAAGTAGCAGAAGGCGGTGATGATGCAGACATTGTTCAGGAACTAAAGCCATTGTCGAAGGAAGCTGTACAAATGCAAAAGAAAGACACTGAATTCCTTAAACAAAACAAAGAGACATGAAACTACTGATCTTAATGGCAAATGTTGCCTGTTAGTTTCTTCGAACAGCACTTGGATGGTTAGAAATTGGTGGGTTACAAGTATAGGAGCATAAAATTATTATCTCGTCCAGGGCA